AGCCATGTTCTCTTGGGTTGAAGATTGCCCCAAAACTTTCCCGGTGAGCTCTTTCTCTTTACTCAACTGTGACACACGCTTTTCAATCTCTGGATCGTATGGGATCACTTCGTTTGAAGAAGATCGAGTCATACGCCAAAGTACTTAACCTGTTTCCTGTACACGGAAGAGAAAAACCGTGAAGAATAAAATAAATTTGGTTCCTGAATTAGCACCAAAAATAATTTTGAACACTATTGATTGCCAATCCCCGGTAACGGCACCAAAATTTGACGAGCTTAAAACACAACAAAAAAATAATGCTCTCTAGCCAAAGATAGTGTCGTTATGATTATCGTCTCCATAGGGACTGGATTTAAACAATGGTCAAGTACTTTCTAGCTTAACGTTATTCAGGATGATTAACACATTGGTTTGGATGATTAATAATTAAAATTAACTATGAAACAAAAATAATTAACAAATGATCACTGAAAGACAAGAGTTGAGTAACACTGAAATATCAATGGGAGAAATAAGGATCGTGACAGGATAGGTGCAAGATAGCTATTTGGGATCCAACTCTAGTTCAATTCACTCTAATGTTCTAATGATTCTTACGAATTCACTTGATAATTAGTTCAAACGTATAGTCAAGACTCCTCTCTCGATTAAATCTTAACTCTAGGAGGTGAACTAATATAAGCACTGTGAAAATATGCAAGCATGCGTTAAAAGATTAGTCTTCAGGAAAACGACTCTCGAATATTCTCCTAACTTGAATTAATCAATAATTAAACAAGCTCCTTAGATTACTTAAGAGAATCACTGAATTAAACCAAATAAAATAATACAATATAATCAACACAATATTCCTCTTCCGATTAAATAAATTGGTGCATAAAGTTGCAAACAATTCAAAGTTCCATAAATGAATTCAAGCAAAACACTAGAGTTAAAATCCACAAATATCAATCAAAATACCATATCCATCAAACCCTAAGGTAAAATACTCCATAATCATGGAGAAATCCATCACAAATAAAGTTGAATAATAAGAAAATATGAATTCAATCCAAACTCGGGTGTTGAGTTGAGGAAAGAATGATGAATCCTTGTGCTTTGAGTCTCCAATGCTCTTACAATCTTTTGTAGGTCAAAAGCCCTCTAAAAATTATATTTTTGATGTATTTATACTATGTAGGAACGGGCCCGAACGAAACTATCCTTTTCAAGCCAAAGTGGGACAACACTAAGAAATTACACAGGCGCGGCGCGCCTCGCATCGCCCCATGCGCCACGCCAGTGGGAAAGTTCAGAGAGCAGGTGTTTTTCACTCTGTAGGAATTTTACACTAGCACCTTATGCCCCACGGTGCGGTAGTACAATTTTACCAGAGTAATTGTTTGCTCAATTTTTAACATCAAGACTTGGTCCTCGAGCCCCAAACACGATCCCGACTTAATTCTTTGGGCTTCTACTCAGACTTCAAAACTCCAAATCATCCATTTTAGCTTCAAACTTGCTTATTCACTCGAAATCACATCCTACACAACATAACATACGTAATAAGTACAAAGTACTAATAATTAGGCTCAAATACAATCAAAGTGTAATAATTAGAGTGTAAAATATAGTTAAAATATGAGTTCCTTGTCTATCATCACGTATAGAAAAACTAATGTAATTAAAATAGTTCGAAGATAATAAAACCAATTAGGTCTCATCATCAGTTGTCGTACGTTATATAACCCAAAATATTAATAATCCAATATCCAATGGATTATACGAATCATGTGAGAGTATCAAAAAATAAGACGATCATACATAACAAAAGAGAAATAAAACATCCGGCCACCATTCAGAGAGGGTGTTGGGTGGAGGCTCAAAACAACGACTAGAACAAGTTAAAATTTCATCCATGAGGCTCACTGTCAATGGGCGTACCTACTAAAAAGGTGGGACAAGACTTTAAGGTAGCGTTTGGCCATATATTTTGGCTTTAATTTTTCAAAAATAAATTTTATAATATTATTTGTTTATAAAATATGATCATATTTTTGGAATTCTTTTTTAAAAATTCTCAAGTTCCCAAAAACTGGTTTAGGCAGTTTTTGAGCGAATTATTTTATTCCACTCACAAAACTTTAACTTTTCTTCAAATAAAATGCATGTCCAAACACAACTTCAATTTTTAAAAAATATTTTTCAACACAACTTCAAAAACTCTTTTTCAAATTTCAATCAAATATATGTCCAAACGTTAGTTAAGTATAAGAGGTTTTATTTTGTAGACACTACACTTGGATGATTTAGTTAAGTTGGAAAAAGACACAAGTTACACCAACAATTATATGGAGTGGAGTTTTCTCAGAAACTACAGACTAGAATTAACAAACTTAGGTAAGAACATGTTGAGAATAATTATGTAATTTGGTCTCCTTGTTAGTTAGTTAGCTGTTAGCTAGAAGATGCTAACTGTAGCCAGCTCATTAGCAGTTAGTCGGTTGTTTTCATTTCCTCACACTCTTATGTATATAGTGGTATTGCCACTTAGAGTTTAATCAGATTTCTGATTTCAGAAGTTTTATTTCCTCTCGCTTTCTTTCTCTCTTTCACCACTGATGGCATGGGGGTCAAAGCCACATCTCCATTAGTGCTCACTTGAACTCAAATTACCGTTTCATTGAGAAATCTGATATGGTATTAGAGCCACTTACAGGTTTCGATTCATCCTCTTGATTGTGTTCATTTTCAATTGTTCATTCTGCAATTCGATTAAATTCACACATGCAAGTTTCGATTAGTGTCAGATTTGATTCATCATGTATCTTTCGGTGTTGAATTTTCTATCCACAATCAGTTTTCTGGATTCTACGTTTGCAGTCGATTTGATCTCATCTTTCATTCCTTTAATTTTTGATAAAATTGAATTGTTTCGATATTGACTATCGTTGACGATGAAGAACAGTCCACACAATCTGTGCCTGATTCGACTAATCAACTAGTTGTTGACACTTATAGTCCATTTTTTATTCATCTATTTGATAATCCCGGGGCAACGTTAGTTTCTGTGCCTTTCAATGGATTTGGTTATCGTTCATGGAAAATAGGTGTAATGTGAGCCCTATCAGTGAAAAATAAGTTAGGGTTTATCAATGGAGAATGCAAAAGGCTAGATCTAGACTCATCAAAATATCGAATATGGGAAAGGTGCGACGATATGGTGACCTCATGGATTCTGAATTCCTTAGCCAAGGAAATCGCAGACAATGTCAAGTATGTGAGTGACGCAATTGAGTTATGGAGAGAACTTGAGGGCCGATATGACCAAACTAATAGGACAAAATTATATCAAATTTAAAGGAAAATCAATGATCTGTCGCAAGGAGATCTTGATATCACTGGTTATTAGACCAAAAAGAAGAAATTGTGGGAGGAACTCAACACTCTGATTGTCAAATCTCACTGCACCTGTAACTGCACATGCGGAGCTAAGGAAAGCATACACAATGTTGAGCAAAATAGGAGATTGATACAATTTCTTATGGGTTAAATGAGACATATACTGTAGTTCGAGGTAGCTTCTTCATGATGAATTCACTTCCTTCAATTGCACTTGTATTTCATTGTTAGTCCAAGAGGAAAAGCACAAAAAAATCAGGCAAGCAATTATTTAGTTGTTGAATCCACAATATTGAATGTGAACACAGACATGCCAAATTCCTTCAGGAACGATTACTCTCCCAATAATAATCACAATAATAGGACCAGACCTTTCTGTGATCACTGTAAGAGACCAGGATACACCAAGAGAAATGCTATAAACTACATGGTTATCCCTAGAATCTCAATCAAAACCAGAATCTAAACATAAGCCACAATCAAATGTCCCACTTCAACAAAAACCACAACTACAATACTAATCAGAACTTCAGGCTCAACAAAGGAAGTAAGAAAGTAGCCAATGCACATGTTGCAACTACTGAGACACAACTTGCTGATAGTGACGGACCTGCCACTCATTATAATAATCAAAATGTGAGCCTTACCAAAGAGTATGGGCAACTGGTAAGCCACTTACAATATTTTCAGTCTAGGGGTGGAAGAAGTAGTGCTAACTTTACAAGTGGAGCAGTAAATTTTGCGGGTATTGTAGCATGCACATCCTTTATTGATTTTTGTAAGTTGTCATGTGAATGTTTCAAAAATAAGGTCAACTCATGGATTATAGACTCAAGGGCATCAAACCACATGACTTTTAGCAAGTCTTTGTTGACGAGTATAACGACCCTACCCTTTATTAGTAATACTCCCAAATGGATATAAGGTGAAGGTGTCAGAAATTGGTAGTGTGACACTCACTCCTAAGATCACTTTAGACAAGGTAATGTTGGTGTCCTCATTTAGATACAACTTGATCTCTGTTCATTCTTTGGCTTCATACCTTAAGTGTGTTGTTGCTTTTGCTAAGCATTGTGGGCACCTAATCTTTTTTATCATAATAGAGTTTTTACATCTTTTTAGAATTTTATTACTATTTCTTTTAGGTTTAATCTCCATATTTAGCTTTCACTTTATTTTTATTAGATTTTATTTAAGGAAAGTGAAAAAAAAACTATACAAAAATAGTAGCATATTTAAATATTTAGTTTGTTTTTATTTGCAAAAGAAAAACAAAACTCACAAAATTGGGACAAGAGAGTCAATCATTTCTTGACACTTGCAAGATTCCATCTTATCTTGTTTGATAGCCCCACATAATTTTCACACCCAATTTTACTCCATTCTTGCATTCAATTCATTTTTATCCCTTTTGTATTTGACCACACTAATAGATACATACCTAAGGAATATTCTCTCACATACTGACACACCATAACAAACACACACTCACCTGCACCAGCTCCTCATCCCTTTAGATACATTATATATACACACAATGAGAGAAGGAAGAAAAATAGTAGCGCCTTAAACTAGCTCCAAAATCTCCTCCTCAATATGTTTGATCTCTTTCCAAGTCTTTCTCTTCGTCAATGATTATGGATCGCTCTTGTCATTTAGTTCGATACACTACTCTAAGGACAGTTGCCTATACATTATCTTGACTTTCTAGTAGAGTCCAATTTGCTGCAACTTCACTGTACATGTTTGAAAAGTTCAGCAATAAAGGTTCATTCTTTACCCTATTTCATCTCCAGTTCATCTTGCTAGCTTAGTAAATAGTTTTGGCGAGACTTTTCCGTGCTAGCTTATCTTTTGATCCTCAACTGGATTAGTTCATTTGCTTCTTTGGAGTTATGTGACTGTTTTGACTTTCTTTATAAGACTTTGCTGAAATATTTAGATATAATCATGATAATAATCTCATGTCGGTTTGGTTCAATAAAGTGTCTTATGCAACTGTTAAGTTAGTCTTTGTATTCGTTAAGATAGACAGTAAATTTTTAGTTATTGAGGTGTAAATGAAAGTTGCATGTTAGGAATTTAAGTATTAGAGACAATGGTCCTGAACAATGCATCCCAATTTGCCATTTGAAAGAGCAAAAATGACTTTTGATTCTTGTCTATTTTGTAATTATTTATTCAAAGCTTTATTTTAATAATGTTAATATTACTTTACAAAAATATATACTGTATACTATATTGGGATATAGTGAGTTTGATTTGACTTTTGAGTATATATATATATATATATATATATATATATATATCTTAGAGCCCATCATCTAGTATAAGATTAAGACGTAGTTGATTGATAGATTAAATGCATTTTTTCCAAAGCAGAAACTTTCAAAGTAGATAAATTTTGAACTGCTTGCGTAAATTATAATTACCACAAATAAAGATGTGTTCCCTAATAGCCTTACAAATCTTGAGGTTTCAAGGAAAGACAGACATTAATGGAAATATAGACATGTGGTGCTATTATTTCTCTCGTCTATGGCCTGCCTATTTTCTCTGCACTAACTTCAACAATATTCCCAAAAATTTCTCTATATATAGATCAAATTTTATCAGTTGGGAAAAACAAAATAAATCTTTTGCCAACATATATAATAAAAAAGTACGTGCATGTAGAATAATTTATTTTTTCTTCTTAAACATGCAAATATACTTCTATATTGCTACGATATGTTCGGTTTCTTATTTTCCTTCGTTGTTTTATGTTTTACAGGATGATGATGGCCAAAACATTTCAATTTGTCTGTGTACTTATTTGTTTCTTGGCCATTATTATCAACATTGAGGCTTGTGTAAAAGAAAATGCAACATCAGACATAGATCAGGGATATTATGTCGAAAAAACAGTCGTTCACAATGCTGTATCAGAAGGAGCAGGTTAATTTCCTTCACTAATTTTATGCACATTCTGTGGAAGTGCATGACCATCTCAATTAAAAGATTAAGTTATTTAAGAGAGCGTACTTTTATTTACTCAATTATATTCTCAACACGCCCTTGTGGGCTTAATTTCTTTCATGGGCAAAGCACATGAAAATTCTCTTTTATAACGGGTGACAGAGACTCGACTCAAGGACCTCTACATACTCTGATACCATGTTGAAATATGTGACTATCTCATCGAAAATTGAAACTGTTGGAAAGAGCACACATTTATTTATTCAGTTACATTCTCAACACATTTAATATAATTAAATTAAGTAATTTTTGAATTGCGAAAAGAGTTATAGTAACGTGTTTTTAATGTGGCAGTGTGCTTGGATGGATCACCTCCAGCATACCATTTTGAACCAGGATTCGGAGATGGAGTGGGAAAATGGCTTGTTCATCTTTCGGTAAGTCATATCTAATTAACTATGTATACAATTGTTAGAGTCAAAAATACGCGAGTATACATGGTCGACAAGAAATAGAGTGATGAATAGAATATCGTCCCCGTTGAGACTTATGATTAATTATGAACTAAATTAAATTATTTATGAATTTTCTCCATAAATATATATATATATATATATATATAT